TAGTCTAGTCTATAGTCTAGTCTATAGTCTAGTCTATAGTCTAGTCTATAGTCTAGTCTATAGTCTAGTCTATAGTCTAGTCTATAGTCTAGTCTATAGTCTAGTCTATAGTCTAGTCTATAGTCTAGTCTATAGTCTAGTCTATAGTCTAGTCTATAGTCTAGTCTATAGTCTAGTCTATAGTCTAGTCTATAGTCTAGTCTATAGTCTAGTCTATAGTCTAGTCTATAGTCTAGTCTATAGTCTAGTCTATAGTCAAGTCTATAGTCTAGTCTATAGTCTATAGTCTAGTCATAGTCTAGTCATAGTCTAGTCATAGTCTAGTCATAGTCTAGTCATAGTCTAGTCCTAGTCTAGTTCTAGTCTAGTCTATAGTCTAGTCTATAGTCTAGTCTATAGTCTAGTCTATAGTCTTCTATAGTCTAGTCTATAGTCTAGTCTATAGTCTAGTCTCATAGTCTAGTCTATAGTCTAGTCTATAGTCTAGTCTATAGTCTAGTCTATAGTCTAGTCTATAGTCTAGTCTATAGTCTAGTCTATAGTCTAGTCTATAGTCTAGTCTATAGTCTAGTCTATAGTCTAGTCTATAGTCTAGTCTATAGTCTAGTCTATAGTCTAGTCTATAGTCTAGTCTATAGTCTAGTCTATAGTCTAGTCTATAGTCTAGTCTATAGTCTAGTCTATAGTCTAAGTCTATAGTCTAGTCTATAGTCTAGTCTATAGTCTAGTCTATAGTCTAGTCTATAGTCTAGTCTATAGTCTAGTCTATAGTCTAGTCTATAGTCTAGTCTATAGTCTAGTCTATAGTCTAGTCTATAGTCTAGTAGTCTAGTATAGTCTAGTCTATAGTCTAGTCTATAGTCTAGTCTATAGTCTAGTCTATAGTCTAGTCTATAGTCTAGTCTAGTCTAGTCTATAGTCTAGTCATAGTCTAGTCATAGTCTAGTCATAGTCTAGTCATAGTCTAGTCATAGTCTAGTCATAGTCTAGTCATAGTCTAGTCATAGTCTAGTCCTAGTCTAGTTATAGTCTAGTCATAGTCCAGTCATTCATGATCTGAGTTATATACATACTAATACCTAACCTAGTTATATTCTATAAGATTAAATATTTCACAATTTCTAAAAAATATTTGCTATTTTTCCAAACTCTGAACCAATGCTGAACCCTGAACAAAACAAAATTAAGAACTTCCAGAGTATAAAAATTTATAACTTGTATTGTGTTTTAAGAACTTGCAAAAAATCTAAAATACAATTGTATTTTTTTACAACTTTTACGAATTTTATTGCCAAAACCAAGCGGACGCACCAGCTTAGCATAGGGATCTATTGGCTCACATACACAACACATTGTAGCTGCAACCAGGGCCAAGGAATGAAAATATTGTTAATGTATGAATGCTTTGATTTTTGTGCATTCAGTATTAAATTATATTTTGATATTTTCGGCTAATTGTGTTAACTTGGCTCTACTAACTAACTACTACTCCACCTTAAGAATAGGTTTGCCATTTCTACCATGTAGTATGTATAAGATTCAGTTTACTATGACTACATAATGAAAAATATGTTTGATTTTATGATTATATTTGCCTTTTGGTTGGGATTTTGTTACTCATATTTTATTACTTGTATTTAGTTGTTATTTGGCCGCTAAACATGAAATTCTTTTAAATTAAAGGAATTTTATGATTCGTGGTGGACACGATAGTTGGGAAAATGTGTTTAGAATTGTTGTGAATATAACTGATGACTTACGCTTATAGGAAGCATTATAGGACCTATCGTCCTAATTAGAAGTCTTTCGAAAATTCAATTAACTGTATACAAATGTTAAAATTATTCCCTATTTATATAAAAAATGTAATGATTTAATTATAAGAACTTATACAAAAATTCAAGTCCCAATAAAATTATAAACTTAACCGACAATTTAATTAGAAAACATGTATTTACAGTTTTATTTTTTCCCAGCTGATTTGTTTTAATATTGTGACACTATTAAAAAATAAGAAGGACGAAGGCTAATTTGTAATTACAGTAAAATACTAAATATACTGAATAAACAACTAACGAAATCCTTAAAAATTAAAAAAATAATAACCGTTCAATATGGGCAATTCAACTGTTTTCTTGGTAAACTTTTTTTAAATAATCCAAAAAATGTGCACCTTTTTTCGTTTCCCTTGTTGTACCAATCATAAATTTGTTCATTTAATGTTGTCATAAAAATTTTATAAAAACATCTAAAAAGTCTTTTCTTACGGTCGATTTATATATATTTTTTTTTATTTTTTATATTGTTTCATATAAATGATCATGTTTTAATGTTTAAGAAGGAAAGAATATTTTCGAACCTCATTAAAACTTTTTTTTTAATTATTTCATTTTAAATGTAAAACAGTTTAAGATCGACATCACCTGTCTCTTAAGGTTTATATTGTGCCCGTGAAGATATAAACAAAAGCCGCCGAACAGACAGTTGTCAAAAACTGGATTTCATTTTATACTATAGCAGCATATTAATGAAGTGGGAGGACAGTTTTTCTCTGACATTAATATAATTTTTGATTCTTAATTAATCATGTAGTATACTGAAATTGAAAGTTTCAATTGAATAAGTATTAATAATATATGTAATATAAGATTAAGTATGGGCCGGACCATTTTTCTTTGAGTTTTGAATAGTCCTTTAGCTAGTCCTACTCCCGAATATAGTCTAGTCTACAGTTAAGTATATTGTCTAGTCTATAGCATAGTCTAAAGTCCATTCTATAGTCTAGCCTATAGTCTAGTCTATAGTCTAGTCTATAGTCTTGTCTACAGTCTAGTCTATAGTCTAGTCTACAGTCTAGTTTAGTCTAGTCTAGTCTATAGTCTAGTCTATAGTATAGTCTATAGTCTAGTCTATAGTCTTGTCTATAGTCTTGTCTATAGTCTTGTCTATAGTCTTTTCTATAGTCTAGTCTATAATCTAGTCTATAGTCTAGTCTATAGTCTAGTCTATAGTCTAGTCTATAGTCTAGTCTATAGTCTAGTCTATAGTCTAGTCTATAGTCTAGTCTATAGTCTAGTCTATAGTCTAGTCTATAGTCTAGTCTATAGTCTAGTCTATAGTCTAGTCTATAGTCTAGTCTATAGTCTAGTCTATAGTCTAGTCTATAGTCTAGTCAATAGTCTAGTCTATAGTCTAGTCTATAGTCTAGTCTATAGTCTAGTCTATAGTCTAGTCTATAGTCTAGTCTATAGTCTAGTCTATAGTCTAGTCTATAGTCTAGTCTATAGTCTAGTCTATAGTCTAGTCTATAGTCCTAGTCTATAGTCTAGTCTATAGTCTAGTCTATAGTCTAGTCTATAGTCTAGTCTATAGTCTAGTCTATAGTCTAGTCTATAGTCTAGTCTATAGTCTAGTCTATAGTCTAGTCTATAGTCCTAGTCTATAGTCTAGTCTATAGTCTAGTCTATAGTCTAGTCTATAGTCTAGTCTATAGTCTAGTCTATAGTCTAGTCTATAGTCTAGTCTATAGTCTAGTCTATAGTCTAGTCTATAGTCTAGTCTATAGTCTAGTCTATAGTCTAGTCTATAGTCTAGTCTATAGTCTAGTCTATAGTATAGTCTATAGTCTAGTCTATAGTCCTAGTCTATAGTCTAGTCTAAATAGTCTAGTCTATAGTCTAGTCTATAGTCTAGTCTATAGTCTAGTCTATAGTCTAGTCTATAGTCCTAGTCTATAGTCTAGTCTATAGTCTAGTCTATAGTCTAGTCTATAGTCTAGTCATAGTCTAGTCTATAGTCTAGTCTATAGTCTAGTCTATAGTCTAGTCTATAGTCTATAGTCTAGTCTAGTCTAGTCTAGTCTAGTCTAGTCTAGTCTATAGTCTAGTCTAGTCTATAGTCTAGTCTAGTCTATAGTCTAGTCTATAGTCTAGTCTATAGTCTAGTCTATTTTCTAGTCTATAGTATAGTCTATAGTATAGTCTATAGTCTAGTTTATAGTCTAGTCTATAGTCTAGTCTATAGTCTAGTCTATAGTCTAGTCATAGTCTAGTCTATAGTCTAGTCATAGTCTAGTCATAGTCTAGTCATAGTCTAGTCATAGTCTAGTCATAGTCTAGTCATAGTCTAGTCATAGTCTAGTCATAGTCTAGTCATAGTCTAGTCATAGTCTAGTCATAGTCTAGTCATAGTCTAGTCATAGTCTAGTCATAGTCTAGTCTATAGTCTAGTCATAGTGTAGTCATAGTCTAGTCATAGTCTAGTCATAGTCTAGTCATAGTCTAGTCATAGTCTAGTCATAGTCTAGTCATAGTCTAGTCATAGTCTAGTCATAGTCTAGTCATAGTCTAGTCATAGTCTAGTCATAGTCTAGTCATAGTCTAGTCATAGTCTAGTCATAGTCTAGTCATAGTCTAGTCATAGTCTAGTCATAGTCTAGTCATAGTCTAGTCATAGTCTAGTCATAGTCATAGTCTAGTCATAGTCTAGTCATAGTCTAGTCATAGTCTAGTCATAGTCTAGTCATAGTCTAGTCATAGTCTTGACATTTTCTAGTGTATGGTCTATTTTATAGTCTTGTCATAGTCTTGATACAGTCTAGTCATATAGTAATTTTATGAAAGTTTTAGCATTATAAGCATTTTAACAATTTTCGGGATGACAGTTTGTGCAAATTAAAATCACAGGTCGATTTCAATAGAGATCGTCTTTACACATCCATATATGACAGATGTATCAAATTTCATAGAATTATTAACAAAATTGTGAAGACTAGTTTAATTACAAGATTCCTGGACTTAAACTGACAGACGGAAGGATATATAGAACCATAAAATACAATTGCTAGACAACCCATACTACAATGGTGCAATAAAATTAAGATTCCCCTCAACTACATTCTCATGTAATTACATTCTTGTTACTTAAATAATTATGTCTCTATCATACTGTTAAATTCATAATTTTCGAACAAAAAAAAAAAAAAAAAAATGTCTCGTAAATCAATCTAAAAGTCTTCCTCACACACAGCCAGAAGATAGTTTATAGAAAAGTTCCCAGAACAAGACAAATTGCAAACACATAACAATTGTTTTAAATAATAATATTGCACTTTATATGCGCAAAGGAAAACCTGCAAAAAGAACTAAATATTTTCGTGAGGTTCTCTTACACACACGCTGACTGTCATCTGAATAAAAAGTATATAAATAATTTCTGGCCTACAGATCGTTATCAAAGTCATAAGGGACATTTTATATGGCTGGCGGCAATGTTGCAACTCAGAAACACAAAAAAAAAACAAAATCATATGATTTATTTTGAAAAGTCACGGGGTTTGTTTTGTTAAACAGAATGTTTTGGTTTCACTTTTATTTTGGATTTTATCTTCGGTGTTTGAGTTTTTAGTTTTTTTTTTCTTCATTCGATTGTCTGTCTGTCTGTCTGCCACCATGGAACGTTAAATGATTGTAAAACATGTTGTTAATATGCCATTGCGTTAAATGAATATGTACATATTTTTAAAAATCTATTTATTTAATTTGTCTGCATTTTTATTCATTGTTGCTTCTTTTTTTGTAGAAGATACTATGTAGAAGATAAAGCGGCAAAGTTTGCAAATTTACTTTTAGGAGTCATGTGGCAAGTAGTTAATTTAAAAAACAAACATTGGAAGCTAAATTTTTCAATAATTTTTGACTTACATGATATCAAAGGTCTACTGGAGTCGTTTAATAATTGTTTAGTAATTAACTTACCTAAAAAGAAAATAAAAGAATAATAAAAGGCATATGGTTAATAGACTTTTAAATGGTATTAATATGCTAAATATTTTACTAAGTCATATTCTGTTGTCTACAAATATCGTTTAGTTCAGATACATACAAAGAGATAAAGTTTTGATTCAATTAAAAATCAGAATTGTGTAAAAATTATATTTTTCAACCCTTTCTAGACCATATTTCAAAAAAATAAAGCTCTCGTCATCTGATCTGTGTATTCATGTTATAAGTTTTACTTAAATCGTCCAAATATAGTCATATTCTGGAAATAGCCTAGTCGTTAGCTAATTATAGTATGGTCTTAATCCAAAAGTATTGTCATAATATATACCCCAGTCTGTAGCTTAGTCCTTAAACTATTCTAAAATAGAGTATGCAGTTATATCGAAAGTCTAGTCTATATTCTAGCCTACAGCGTATCCGGTCAATAGTCTAGTATATATCCCAGTTAATAATATGGTCTATAGTATATCTAGTCTATAATATAGTCTATAGATTAATATATAAAATAGTCTAGTCTAGTCATAGTCTAGTCCATAGTCTAGTCATAGTCTAGTCATAGTCTAGTCATAGTCTAGTCATAGTCATGTCTAGTCATAGTCTAGTCATAGTCTAGTCATAGTCTAGTCATAGTCTAGTCATAGTCTAGTCATAGTCTAGTCATAGTCTAGTCATAGTCCTAGTCATAGTCTAGCATAGCTAGTCATAGTCTAGTCATAGTCTAGTCATAGTCTAGTCATAGTCTAGTCATAGTCTAGTCATAGTCTAGTCATAGTTCTAGTCATAGTCTAGTCATAGTCTAGTCATAGTCCTGTCATAGTCTAGTCATAGTCTAGTCATAGTCTAGTCATAGTCTAGTCATAGTCTAGTCATAGTCTAGTCAGAGTCTAGTCCTAGTTCTAGTCATAGTCTAGTCATAGTCTAGTCTAGTCTAGTCATGTCTAGTCATAGTCTAGTCATGTCTAGTCATAGTCTAGTCATAGTCTAGTCATAGTCTAGTCATAGTCTAGTCATAGTAGTCTATCATAGTCTAGTCATAGTCTAGTCATAGTCTAGTCATAGTCTAGTCATAGTCTAGTTCATAGTCTAGTCATAGTCTAGTCATAGTCTAGTCCTAGTCTAGTCATAGTTAGATCATAGTCTAGTCATTAGTCTAGTATAGTCTAGTCAGTCTAGTCATAGTCTAGTCATAGTCTAGTCATAGTCTAGTCATAGTCTAGTCATAGTCTAGTCATAGTCTAGTCATAGTCTAGTCATAGTCTAGTCAAGTAGTCATAGTCTCATAGTCTAGTCATAGTCTAGTCATAGTCTAGTCATAGTCTAGTCAAAGTCTAGTCATAGTCTAGTCATAGTCTAGTCATAGTCTAGTCATAGTCTAGTCATAGTCTAGTCATAGTCTAGTCATAGTCTAGTCATAGTCTAGTCATAGTCTAGTCATAGTCTAGTCATAGTCTAGTCTAGTCATAGTCTAGTCATAGTCTAGTCATAGTCTAGTCATAGTCTAGTCATAGTCTAGTCATAGTCTAGTCATAGTCTAGTCATAGTCTAGTCATAGTCTAGTCATAGTCTAGTCATAGTCTAGTCATAGTCTAGTCATAGTCTAGTCATAGTCTAGTCATAGTCTAGTCATAGTCTAGTCAAAGTCTAGTCATAGTCTAGTCATAGTCTAGTCATAGTCTAGTCATAGTCTAGTCATAGTCTAGTCATAGTCTAGTCAAAGTCTAGTCATAGTCTAGTCATAGTCTAGTCGTAGTCTAGTCATAGTCTAGTCATAGTCTAGTCATAGTCTAGTCATAGTCTAGTCATAGTCTAGTCATAGTCTAGTCATAGTCTAGTCATAGTCTAGTCATAGTCTAGTCATAGTCTAGTCATAGTCTAGTCATAGTCTAGTCATAGTCTAGTCATAGTCTAGTCATAGTCTAGTCATAGTCTAGTCATAGTCTAGTCATAGTCTAGTCATAGTCTAGTCATAGTCTAGTCATAGTCTAGTCATAGTCTAGTCATAGTCTAGTCATAGTCTAGTCATAGTCTAGTCATAGTCTAGTCATAGTCTAGTCATAGTCTAGTCATAGTCTAGTCATAGTCTAGTCATAGTCTAGTCATAGTCTAGTCATAGTCTAGTCATCATAGTTCAGTCCATAGTCTAGTTTACAATCTAGTCTTTATGAGGATTTTAACCGTTATTTCGGGATGCAACAAACCGTGGTGTTGGTGGGTGTTAATATTAAATATTTCGCTTCGACTCTTAAGCAAAATCGTATCTTTTACAAGTTTTGTATTATAGAATCAAGTTATATCACCGATTATTTAAAAACAACAATCGATCGTTTTTCAAACATTACCAAGTTTATTGATCTTTCAACTAACATTACAACTTATATCAAACATTTATTTAATCAGTTTTTTTCTTTTGTCCAGCTACATTTGATTGAATAATTTCTTTTTCTCCTTTTCTACAGTTATTTTCACAATTGATTTACGGATAACTGACCCAATTGATCTTTTTGGATTATAAAATTAAAGAAAAAAATTGATTAAAGATGCATAAACAATGATTTGCCTGCTTAAAGAAAATTGATTGATGCTGCAACAAACAGAAAAAGGCAAATGATCACAAGACAAGAAGAAAGACAATATAACACTACCTAATCTTGGACCTCATTGGCATTTGGGACCAAGAGGCCATCATAACAACAAATTGCTAAAAATGGAAAAGAAAATAAAACAACAGTATTAGCAAAACAAAATATTAATCCCGATAAATTGAAAATAAAAACCAATAACAACAAAAAAGAAAGAAATTAAATTGAATTGTATTCAATTATATTGCTAAAAAAATATATGGAATTTCAAATTGAATTTCTAAAACTAATTATAATGAAAGTTTTTATTTTTGTCTTCTTTCTGCTGTAGTCTTCATTCCAGGAAATCGAAATCTCAAACTAAAAAAGGGGGAAAGAAATGAGCCACAATGTAAGAAGAAAAAAAAGTAGCAGACATCTGACATGTTAGACTGCCAGCAGAGAAGCATCTAATACTGTTTAAGCAAAATCTGGGCGCGATTACATACATTTGCGAACAGTAGCATGTCTGTAAGTGCGTTATGATGCGTGTCTTTTATAGGAAAAAAATTTATAAGTTTACGATCACACCTTAGAAAACGTTGTCATATAATCTTTTGATTAGATTTTTTACGTTTATTATTAGATACGATTCATACACTAGATTCATTCATTTATAGATCCGATACGCTTTAATTACTTTCTAGCGGCGTAAGACTACTGTGACAGTGGAATTGTAACAACTGGAAATGTATTAGACTTTTTAAAAAATAATGTGGCCAACTAAGTATATGTCGAACGTTGCACAGTGGTATAGGAAAAAAAAAAGAGGGAAATAATTCGTTAACTTCTAAACGGTTAATCCGATTTTAATGAAATTTGGTATGCACAAAGTGGAGGTGCTGTCGAGTTTAGGTTTTGAATTTGGACCTTATAGGCCAACCAGGGGCCCGGCGGGGGGTCCTCAAATTAGGACACATCGGCTATGTTAAATTTTTAAAACGATCCTATTTCTTCATTTGAGTTCCGATTTAAAAAAAATTTCGTATATAGAATCTCCTCATCGAGCACTATAGCAGTAAATTATCTCTTATAGTTTAGGAGATATTCGCATTTGAAAATTAAAATTTTAAAATTTTTACCGTCCTTACTTTAGTTTTTTTGATAATAGCGGGTCCAAATATTCCCGATTTTCGCCATTTTTTTTAATTCGCTTAACAACAAGTTTATATATCAAGCAGTGAAAGAATTATGTAAAAATCATGACTGAGTCCAAAGTTATAGGCATTTTAATTTAAAAAATTAAAAAAGGCGATTTTTTGTAATTTTTTTGGGAAAAAAGTATCTTTTTCTTTTTAAGTTATCTAAAAAGTTTCTAAGAAGATATATATAGAATTTATGCTTTTTGGAAAGCTGACTTTACATAAAATACGATAAATGAAACAAAACCTAAAAATTTTTGATACCGAGGGGACCAGGTCCATCCAAAAAACCCCTATTTTTTATGGAAAATTCAATTTTGAGCAAAAATTCTCAAATCGCATAGTCGATATCAAATTATAGTGACCTGTTTTATATGACCCAATATGTTCTTAATCATTTTGTAACGGGTTTCGATAACCTCGCCCCTGGTATGGATATAATAGGCAAAAAACCAAAAAATCCCATTTTTGGGATTTTTTAAAACTTTTTTGGGAATTCCGGGATTTCTAATAAGAAAATTCGAAATTTTTATTTAATTTTGGAATTTCTACCTAACTGTAAAATTTCATCAAAAAATATTCATAAATAAAATTTTTATTGCAATTTGAAAAATTTGTATCTTCGCAAAAACTGAATAAAAAACATTTTTTATTTTTTTTTTAAAAAAGTATTCCGCGAATTTTTTAATTTTCAAAAATTATATACAGTTTTAAAAAATAGACAAAATTACCTTTCCAATGATATATAACATGCCTACCTAATGTTTTTTAAGTGACAAATTAATTAGGGAAAACTCAACATCTTTTAGGTCCAAATTCAAAACCTAAACTCGACAGCACCTCCTCTTTGTGCATACCAAATTTCATTAAAATCGGATTAATCGTTAAGAAGTTACCGAATTATTTCCCTCTTTTTTTTTCCTATACCACTGTGCGTTGTCAGTTTCTACCCACCATGCTTAACAATTGGTTTAAGGTGATGGTCAAAAGTGAAACCGAAGTTCAAAATACTGTTAAGTATACCTTTTGAATTCATTTGTTATATATGTAGTATCTATCTATCTATCTATCTATCTATCTATCTATCTATCTATCTATCTATCTATCTATCTATCTATCTATCTATCTATCTATCTATCTATCTATCTATCTATCTATCTATCTATCTATCTATCTATCTATCTATCTATCTATCTATCTATCTATCTATCTA